TCATCTACCAATAGGTGAATGTACCGTCACACTAAAGGACGTGTACATGTTATTGGATCTCCCTGTTGATGGTAAGGCGGTGAATGGGTTGGTTCAACAACATAATTCTCTTTGCTTGGAATTGTTGGGCAGCGATATGGTGGATGCAACTGTTGCTAGGGGTCAAGGTATATTACTAACCGTACTTAAATCGCATTATGGGTCTCTTAGTTTGAATGAAAATTCGACCTAGCAAGAAAAATAATTAAAGCTAGAAATTATCTTATGATATTATTTGGAATCGTGTTATTCCTCGAAAGTACAGGGAATAGTGTAAATTTTATGTATTTAAGGTTGTTTAGGAACTTTGATAAAACAAGAAAGTATAGTTGGAGTTCCATTGTTTTAGCCCATCTATACAATTCATTATATAAAAATGTAACAAACGACAAATATATTTTTTATGGATGGGCTTTCTTGCTTCAATGTCGCTCTATATTGTAATCTTTTGGATCACCTTGATCCAGATGATATACGTGGTACCTCTAAACTTTTCTACTTTTAACTTATTTATTTTAAAGTTATCATTATTCTGATTAATTTTTATCCACAGTTTATCTGGAGACCATATTTGGGATTGGACCATGAACTCAATCCTAAGGATGCAACAGTTTGGACTACAAAGACTGCAATCATATAGTTCAACATTATGGAGATGCACGACAGCGACCGTGTCAAGATGTAGTTCAGAATGCATCAAGATATACCATGTGATCCAACTTATTTGTCACCTTGGCATCTCAAAAGGGTCGACATCTAATGGGGTGTTAATAATTGGAAAGATTTCGTTTTGGAATTGGTGTAAGATGTGGCATAGGCGTCACCAATACGTCTTACAATTCCCTATTTTCCTCAATCAAATTAATATGTGACACACAGATTAGTATATTGATTGGTACAGATCGGTTACTAACCCTAAAATGCACGTACCTCACTCTAGGTATTTGATTTACCCACACACACAATAGGCACAATCATACACCACACAACAACAACTCCAACAACAAACTCAACACACATCAACCTCCCACCAAACACAACGACAATACAGATCCACCAGTATCCAACCTCAAACCCAAGACCAATACCAATACAGAAACATGTCCCATACACAATCACAGTACCTAGAACAACGACCATACATCCGACATCCTGATATGGGCTTCTCGTCATCTCACCTTAGCCCTGACATTGGTCAACCTGAAGAATATTCACCAACCAATCCAACTTACCATCACTCATCCTATCACCATAGCACCCAACAATCACAGTACCAAATCCCACAAGATTCATTTTCTTTTTACGCCCCTTTATTCAGACGACTAGTGTTATCGACCCCCCATGGAACATCACCCCTAACCAATACGACTAAACTTTGAGGGCGTGCATAATTGATTGTTTAAAAGCGGAACTTCCGGATGTGATGATCTAACGGCTTTCATGGATCTTGAACGCATTGACTTCGCAGGACCCTCGATCCAACCGCAACAGAAAATACATCGAAATGCACCACGAGTTAGGCGAGGACGCGGGTGCGAAACCACGGATCTTATCGAGTCCTTGGAGACAACTAAATAATGTGTAGTTTTTATTCTCATTATTTAATCGTTTAATTATTATTGAAAATCAACTTTCATTTGCAACGACATTGCCTTTTATTTCTTTAAAAAAAATCAAAAAAAAAAAACTTTGTACCTAGACGTCATTTGAGATGGCTTAGGGAAAATAATATGCACCTAGGCGCCATCTCACTTGGCGCCTCCTTTAAAAAAATCAATACATGTGCCGTCTGAGATGACTACTGCATTATAAGTTTTCTAAAACATAATTATTTGCGTAATTTTCTTTAAAACATGGTTATTTATGTTTTTTTTTTCAAAACACGGTTATTGCTAAAAAATTCAAAAAACTAATATGATTTTTTTTTTAATTAAAGAAATAAAATAAAACCTAAAATTAACCTACGAAACTAAAAAAGATATTAAACAGAAAAAATAAATGATTAAATTGTAAAAATAAATTGCGAAGAATATAATTGTTTACGTTTAAAGTGTGGATAATCTTTTTTTAATTGAATATCTTATATACATGACTAATCTCTCAAACCATGTGGAATCACACGAAACAAATTTTCTTCCTAAAAAAATGTAACACTACGTATTCAATATGCAAAAGCTCTAATTAAATCGAAAGAAACTCATGTCATCTCATTTAAATTGTGTCATTGTTTTTTATTTGTGGACAAATAAAATAATCTCTATTTCCTTAAAAATACACATGAATTATGTTTTCCTCCTCCTTCTATTGGATCTTCCGTAGTATATAAATTCGTGTAAAGCGAAAAAGAACGGTTGTGTGTTAAAAGAAAACATCTACTTCTGCCGTATGAACTTTTCAAACAAAATTTCACTTCAAAAAAAGATCAAATTCTACAAAGACTGAATACAAAATATATTACGTAATATACTCATTCATGCATATAACTAGTTACATACGTCTATAATAAAATTTTAATTTATCATATTATAAAAGTTTAATCTCTTTTATTAGACTCAATGATGTCGGTGGTATTGCTCTTATTTATAAATTCAGCTATTTACTTAAGAAAGACTATTTCTTCTATGAATCAAATACAAGGAGAAGAAAGCATAGAGAAAGGAGAAACAACACATGCACAATTCACGAGTAGCATTGGTCGAAAAAGACAACCATTATATGATACCTTAATTGCACCAAACAACATTGTCAAAAGAAACATACCACGTAACACTATATTTAGTAAACGGCACAATCAAACTTCCACCACTACATTGCATTGCCACAAAAAACCATACTCTATTAATGAACCTACCTACATAAAATTCTTGATTAATGATATTAGCCAAATACTTGATGCAAAAATCGTGAATCACGAAAGCTTTAGAAAATGTTAATAGCTTCTTGTCATTTCATGTGACTGATTAGTGCCGTATTGTAATAGATAAGCACATCTAAAGATAAATTTAGAACTTTCTCACCTTTTATATCATTACCCTACGTACCCACTTTGTGTTACCATTTGATTCCGCTATATTAGGTAAATGTAATTTTCATGACATGGTCTATTTTCTGATATTTGCGTGTATAAATACCTAACATATATTGTTTCAAAACATGCAAGATTAATTAAAACATTTTCATGCGGTTATAAACCAATAGGCTTTCTTCAACTAACTCCCATTTTTTCGTGCTTATTTTTCCTCCTTCTTCTACTTCTATGGCATCATGTGAGAACAATGATACAAGTTTAGTAGATATTGATTTGGAGGCATTTGAGATTGATGTTAATCTCTTAAGAGAATTGCTTGAAGAAGAAGAGGAGGAAAAGGGTGCAAATGATAATGGTAACAAAGAATGCGTAGTAGAATCCCTAGAGGAAAGCGGAAATGTTAATCCTAGTATGATGAATGAGGAGAAAGAGGGGCAGCAACAGAGTTGTTTGGAGAAGAATGAGTGTCATCATGTTCATGATTTTGAGTGGCTGAATATGATGGAATTGATGGAGCCAACCAACCCACTAGATGAAGTGATGACAATGAATTGGTTTTCAGATGACAGTGGTAAGTTCGATTTTGATTTTAGTTATGCTAATGGAGAATGCTACCCTCAAATTTGCGACGGTGTCGTGACCAATGACTCGAATTACGGTCGTTTGTGGGGAGATTGTTGATATTTTTATGCTTATCAATTGTCAAAAGAAAAAAATTGCTTATCGAATTTAGCTATCAGTAATATCAATAATGAAAGGAGAAAGTGAAATAGCAAAAGTGACTCGAGTGTCAAAAATCTAATTAATAATTAATAAGTTAAACAATAATTATAGCTTTTAGCTTCCACCAAATTATGTCTTGATATATGATATTACTGTTTGTTGACCTTATTGTAAAAAGTATATTTATATTCATTGTTAAATCACAGTATAAAGAAGTTTTATAAACTAGTCAAAAAAATATTTTGAAAAAATATATAATTTGGTCAGGCACATGTGCATTAGTATGTTTTTTGAAGGAAATTGAATGCTTTTAAATGATAAATTTTGAATATAGTAATCGATTCATCTTGTGAAACTTTTTAATATAAAAATTTAAAAAAAGATCATGAAAAAACTTGACTGCATAATATAACTTTGAAATCAAATAAGAGTAACCTAAAGACACATGTTAAGAAATCTATAATTAAAATTTTTGTCTTGAAATAATAATTTAAAATAATTAATTATATATTTGTAATAAATTCAATGCACAATTTCCAAGATAAAATTATTTTATTTAGTTTTACCCATCAAATAAAGAAAGAAGATTGAATAATCACACATGAACAAAGCAAAGACTATTGATTCTAAGCTTTGAAATCAATGTACGACTCCGAATACTAATAGTCTAAAATGTGCCTAACCGTGACATTGCTAAATTCAAGCAATAGAACTGATCAAAATAATGGTAAGGTAAAAAGTGTCTAACTCGAGCACACGTTTTGATAGGAAAAATCTAAATAATGAAGAAAAAAAACAAAGTGAAACTACTAATTAGTACAATGATGCACAAGATTTAAAAATGACAATTTAAGGGGAGCCACAATTAATAACTTCACCAAAATCCTAACAATTTAGAACTAGACTCGGTCTAACCAAAACTTTTTTCAACAATCTTTTTCCATTTCCCTTAAAACCAAGGTAAGACTCGAAGTTACAACTAAATTACCTCAACTATAAGAAATTTGATGCCCATCCAGATTATAACAATGAAATAAATCAGTTATATAGTCATAATTTTACAATGCCACGTTAATAAATTAGCGAATGGACGCATGTGAAGCTCCCAAGACTAATCAGAAGCCAATTTAAAAAACTCGGATGGCTTCCTGCAGTGGAAACTCACGTAACAAACATGGATCTAAGCTAACCACCATCTTGGAAATAGCTGTCAGGTATCTTTAGACCCAACAGCAAACTTAGCAATGAAGAATCCAATTGTATCAAGGGGAGCTGATGGGTCAAATCTCTGAACAAGGTTTTCCTCACCAGGTCGTAACCATTCCCTGTATACAAAGACAAGAGAGTGTGGAGCCAGAAATTGGCATACAAATCGGTTATATTTTGGATAAAAAGGGAAAGGAAAAAAAACTATACTTCAAAACTAAAACTACAGCAAAGATTATCTGTCAAATATCAAACAACACAGTATCATCACAGATGCACGCCCGTGAGAGAGGGGTTGATCAACAAACGGAAGAAAGTACTTACTCTACATATCCATCAGGAAACTCGCAGCTACCAACAAGACCAGGCCCTCCAATTTTTGGGTGCTGGAATAAATGAACAGGAATGTTGTGTAAGCATTAACTATTAACTAATTACAGGGAAACCAAACATACAAAAATAAAAAAATAGTCTGCATTAACTATTTTCCCGTCTTGTAAGACAGTCTAATAAGAAGAATCAACCTTCTCAAAATTAGACATATCAATCTATTCTCGTAAGACAATAATTCAGCCTTAGAAGCCTAACCAATTTGAAAAAAAATATGAAATCTAGGTGGTAAAAATTAGTAGCATCAAACCTGTGGTACCAATGACAGGTATTTGTATTTATCCAAAGCATATCGAACTAATGCTTCATTCTCGCCGGGATTAATTGTACAACTGTTCAAGTTAATCCTCAACAGATCAGTTTTACAGAAACATCACAAAAATAAAGGATAAAAAGGTAAAAGGCGCTTATAAAGACTACCCCCACCAGGATCCAATAAAACTACAATTAATAATACATAACCGCGGATTATGATAGGAAACTTGTAATAATAAGGTCAAGAATGCATAGGGAAATTTGATCGACAAAATGTGCATACTTACGTGGAATAGACTATTACCCCACCAGGTCGAACCAACTGGACAGCCTGGTCAAACATCCTTCTCTGGTATTTTGCATGGCTTCTTAAAGATTCAATTGTGTCCTACCAAAAACAAGGCACTGCATGGTCACTCACTTATCTTTTTGTTTTTGGTGCTTAAATATATTTATACCATAAAAAAAACAATAGCAAACTAAACATCCACATAGAGAAGGATGACTGCACAATACACTGGCCAAACTAAGTTCTAACTATTGATCCATTACTTTTACATCCTATAGAAAAACTCAGGTATATGCGAAGATATAAACGTTATGGAATGGGATTTAGTTGTTGTCTTGTTGACAATTATATGTGCTACAAATTCAGAAGTGAAAAATGAGTCAACTCCTACTTGAAGATTGGTCTGAATATTTGCTACAAATATTTGCATCAGTGCATGCAAATTGGTCTGAATGTGAGTATAGATTAAAGTAAATGAAGTGCAAATTTCAATCAACAGATCTTCTACCTCTCCAGCAAATAACCGAGGCCTTAAACCCAGGGCAGAACAGGGGGCATCAAGAAGAACTCTATCAAAACTGTCAGGATCAAAACCTTTTGAACTATCAACTCTGCCACCCCCACTCTGATTTCTACCAGGTCCATTTCGCGCTTTTCTCATGCTCTTTCTGATCTCTGCTTTGCTAGGATAAGCTCCTTCATGTGCCTTGTTACCTTTACCTATTGTTTACATTATTTAAAAATAAACCCATAAATTGTTGATAGAAAAATACCACTCAAGTCCGTACAAACTTTTTAATAAAAAATTATTATTATTATTATTATTATTATTTATACTGGCACTGATAACCATTTTACAACCAAGAATGTACAAACATAAAATGCGAAAGAAGTATAAAAATAAATTATTGTTTTATGATGGTAAAGATATATGTTGACCTTCAACAAACCAACATCCAACAGTGAAAAGTAAATTAAACAGGAATGAAAAAAAATCTCTAGTTAGAATTTAGCAAGGACTGGAAATAATACAATATAAGAAAAACAGAAATTTAGACAATTACAATTAGTACTTCAATGTTAACTCCATAATTAAACACGGAATGCTAGACATGTATAGTGATTTAATCTGCCTTATAGACCAGACCCAAGTACAACACCAAAAAAAACATGGTTTTCCCCTAACAGGGATTCTTCTCCTTCCAAACTGACAAAATTACAAAATGATAATATGTATGACTTCTATACGACATACACCCTATTAATACCAAACAATAACCGGCACCTGAAAATAGGGGTGTACATGGGTCAGTTTGGGTTTAATTTAGCCAAAACCATAACCCAATCCGTATAGGGTACACTGGTTTGGGTGAGGTAAAATAACCACCCACTGAATCATTGGGTCGGTTTGGATGAAACCACAAATTTGTGGGTTGGATTGGGTTGGACAGTGGGTTACCCAATTTTTTTTATTTTTTTTCTTATATATTATAAATGATGTTTCACATTTTTTCTTAATAAATAGTTTAACCTATTGCCACTATTTTTTATAACATCAAAAATTCTAAATGCACAATAAAATTCATAATAAACATATTTGCAAAAATCTAGGTTTCACTACAATAATACCTATAATTGCATAAAATACTTACACCTTACAAGAATTAACATCAAAATAATCAAAATATGACATCCTAAATATGTTAACATCGTTATTTATAAAATAAAAGATGTTCAAAAAGTTGTATTTGAAGTAACCAAGATTAAAAACATCAAAGTCATCACACATAAAATTACAAAAAATAGCTAAAAAGTAATCACTCAATAACCCATGGGTTTTGTGGGTTGGGTGTGGGTTTACCCATAACCCAATTATTTTGAATGGGTTTTCATTTTTGAAAACCGTGTTCACCCAATGACCTGCCTCAACCCATTTCTTTGGGTCGGTTTGGGTGGGTTTTACTAGGTTTGTTGGGTTTACCCAACCCATGTACACCCCTATGTGAAAACATAACTGCCTCTTAAATAAATAATAATTTCCACCGCAGGACCATTAGATCAACCCACGAAGTTGTGTGACAATTTCAATTAATAATAATTTTTATCCATAAATCTTATGCCATTTCCCTTAGCAGACCCATCATAATTCAGTATAATTCTTGTGTGCTTGATACAACTTTTACAGGAAAAAATAAATCTTACTATTTTTTTATAAAATGAAAATTTATCGGACATTGTTAAAAAATTTACTAACACAGGTACATGCAATATGTCATAAATTCCTATAATGCATTGAGTGTTTCATCTTTTTCTGTAACTTGCATGCAATAAAATATGCAGACAAAATATTAAAAAGATATACTCCCTCCCTCCATCTCATTATCAGTGTTAAATACTGTCTCAAATTGTGTCACTTGAGAATACCGATGTAAGCACTATTTTTTAACTTTTCTATAATCCACTCAATTTATTAATACACCTAACAAGTGCTTTCAACCACTTCAACTAATGTGGCAGTATAGTCTTAACTTTTTTTTTACTGTACAACCATTTTTTAAGAAATACTAGGCATCACCTTAAATGACACTCAAAATGAGAAGAAGAGAGTATTAGTTAGAGTGTTTAATGCTTTCTCTAATATGTAAATGCACAGCAAGTGGCAACTACAAGTACAGGAATAGAACTTACCTACCATTTTCTTCCAAAGTCTCAGTTTTAAAACTTTCAGTACCAAAAAGTGAGATTCTTTCTACTTGCAAATTTGAAGGCACTTGATTTTTCACATCATTGGTGGCATTATTATGACTAGTATCAATAAAAGTATCATTATCATTTCTTCGAGAAACAGATTTAAGGGCATCTAACTTAAACGCTTTTATGCAACTCAACCCCAATTCAGCTGCCAATTTATGAATATCCAGAACCTAGACAACCATCAAAATCAGTATGTTAAGAAGCCATAAATAAATTTATCGCAGGTCTACAAGATTCAAATACAGTTTGGAATTTCCACCTTGTTATGAGATCTATCAGTTGCAATGACCTCTCCTTTATCCTTCATAAGTATTGCAATTGCAGTTGTTTTCCCTCCTGGAGCAGCACACATATCTAGTATCCGCTCACCCATTTGTGGATCTAAATAGAAATAAATGAGCAAAGAGTGATTTTTATGTTAACAGCTTGTTTTTTCCATCACATTATAAAATCAAAGTCCCTTTTCAAGATTATAGAAAAAGAAAGTAAAACATGCCGAAAAATCAATATAATTTTTTATATTGGTGAAAATATAAATGTTTAAACAAAGAAAATATTGAAAGATAGGCATCCAACCTCCACTTCCCCACTAAAAGGCAATGTTCTGAGGGGCTCGCGAATGTCTGAAAAAATCTATCCAATTTAGGTTCAAATTCAATTTCTCATAGTTGTGTTTGAAACTATGTTGCTAATCTCGGATAGCAGGGCAGAGCGCAGGACCCTAAAACAACTATAGTGGGGATAGCTGTCATTGCGAAGACTAAAAAACAGTAAAGAATCTAAACATAAATCCCAAAAAGATACACAAAATTAAAGGGACAATCATACTGGATAATTATAAATTATAGTTAGTTTTGGTCATTTGTCACTAAAATTAAAAATCAAAACCCAATATAGCTTAGTTATTGAATGAAGCTCTAAAAGTAATCAAAAGAAGAGAGGAGAACAAAAGAACAGTGGAAAAACTGAAGAACAGAGGAAGAGAAAAAAGGAAACTAAAAGAACAGTCTTCCCATGCAGAAGAAGGAAAAGCAAGAGAAACAGGGGCCTTCACAGTTTGCATGCCGAAGGAGAACAGAGTCACATGCAGAACAGTTTGCTCGTGAGGAAGAATAAAATAGGTCACTTAAAATAATTCAAAATGAACGATATACCCTTAAAAAATTAACAAAACAGTTAAAAAATATGGTATTTGGGAGACTTTGCCTCATGGACACTGATTGCGGACCAAAGGAGCAATTGGACCGCAATTTTGACACAATCCGCGGCCGCAATCGCCGCACCTGTTGAACGCGGCTTGCCGATAGAATGTGTCGCAGTGGACCATACTGCCGCCACTCTGTGGGTCCATAATTTCCCTCTAATGTAGCACGGTTGACGACATAGGTATTAAATATGGGGAACTTTCTGAAGATCTCTCTAATCGCTTTCCAAATCTGATATAGAACCTCCTCTACCTTCCCTACAGAGGCTATCTGTTGGGACCCATGTGGATGCCTGAAAAACACTATCCTACGTGGGTTCAAAATCAACTTCTCAATGTTTTGTTTAATCTGGAGATTTTACTGAAGGATAATAAGATATACAACAACAAAAGCATTTGCAACCAAGGAAAACAAATAGACAATTCTTGTAAATCACAACAAAGGAGGGAAATAAGAAAAGAAGCCGTAACTTACGTACCTAAAGCATGAGCAGCAATAATGCTTGGCAGGTTTTGTAGAAATATTTCACCCTCAAGCACATCTGGAAAAATGAAAGGAGAAAATATTAGTATAACCATACATATGCACTCAAATACATAAGGAAAATATGAATGAGATGATCCAAAGCATGCCAAAATAAACAGACTGAGGCCTTCTAAATGCAGAATAAACAAATTAGATTTAGGAAACATGTTTCACTGGCACAAACTTATTGGGAAACTAAATAAAAAAAGTTATGCTAAATGTGTGGCTTGGCTCATCATATCATACAAGTGAAACTTCATAAGTAACAAGCCAATTCAACTGCAGCCAAAAAAACAATTCAATAAGGTGTCAATATCTTAACCAGTTTAGAACAACCATAAGACTGAAGGTGGAAACAATTTTTAAAAAATATTGAAATAAATGTATGTTTACCATTGAGAAATGAATAATATTGAAAAAAGTAAATAAATAAAAATGAATACAGTTTTAATAGGATTACGTGAAATTGCTGAAGCATCGAAGTGGATCCTATTGGTTCTCATTATGTATTCAAAATTGCTTACACAAAAACATAATTGCAAAATGTAAAGTGATTATAGAAAGAATGCGGTAATCAGTTTGGACAAAACCAGCAATATAATATCTCATATATATGAGAGTAAACTTACTATGAAAAGAATGAAGTTCATATACTCTATCCTTCATATCCACACCAAGTCCTTGAGTAACACGGAACATGCCAGCCCTTGACAACATTGCAGTTCCTTGGCCAATATATAGCCCATTTCGTTCAAGATAAAATGGATCTGGGAAACAAATTAAGCTAAGAAATCATATCGACCATATTCCAAAAAGCTTACTCAAAGTTACAATGTCAGTTTGAAAATACAATCTCGCCATCGCCCCAATGACCACATCCACCAACATATAATCCATTTCTATGTTATATAAACTTTTTACCAAGCACGACTTATTATAAATAAAACTTAATAGTCCTACAACAATAACGAGTCATCTAACTAGTAGTTTCTAATATTAGTTGCAATGAGCTCCTACACCTGAAAACTTTCCAAAAGTTCTCTTGTGTAACTTCTCCATATCCAACTACAAATTTATAAGGTCTTCTTTTCTATTTAAATACTCATCTCAGTTAAGAAACCCCAATAAGCTAGAAGCCAATCATCCAAGCTCAGCAGTAAATAATTCAGATTTTGCAGGTTATAAAACTTCAATCAGAATGCTAAGTACACGAGACAGGTATAACAAATTATTGACATTCAACACAATTCAGACATAAATACACTTGCTAGTACCTGTCTCAGATCCTTGAAGAACAATACCACGCGTCATTCCAGCACTCCAACTCCCATCTGAACCCTTCTGCTCTACAGAAACAGAGACAGCAATTGTATCTCCTTCCTCCACATGAGCACTGCAAGCCAGTATACCAGGAACATATACCTAAAAAACAAAACCAACCTCAAAAAATAAACTCAAAAATCCTTAAATCAAAGATAACAGAAAACCCTAATCAAATCCAACCTGAGCTCCCCGAAGAACTGCTTCAGCACATTTCCTACTAACAATAACCTCCTTAGGAGCTACATTACCATAATCAACACAATGCGGTCCCGAACCCCAAACAAACACAACATAATCCAATCCAGGTATCAGACACTTGAAAACTGGACCAGAATCAGAATCCAAACACTCCTTCAAAGGATTCACCACATCATCACCATCTCCACAATCATCAGCATTCGAAGATTTCTTCACGAGCAACCGTAGTTTCTCAATAACAGTATCACTGTCAGACCGAAGAGTGTTCACGCGAATGCACGAGTAACGAGAAGGTCGCCTGCGAAATCAAATTACATAAGATACAAATTCAATTAAGCGTAGAATATAAATTAGGGTTAGAATTTGGGGGAAATTTGTGGTACGTTAGAGCGGAGGAGATGCGAGAGAAGCGATCAGAGCCATAGGCTTTGGTGAAGTAGTTGTGGAGGTGAGGGTTCCAGTTGAGAGTGGGGTTGTATGAATATCGTTGCGGAGAAGAATCGTGATTGGGAGTTTGCATCGTTTCTTGAAATGTAGCTGCGGTTATCGAATTAATGTTAGAGTTGGATGAATTTGGGGTTTTGTGAAGTGTTCTGTAAGTGGTGAGGAAGAACAAGTCCCTCGCTTTCTTCATTCAAAGTTCAAACAAGTGTGTAGCATTAGTAAGTATTACTAGTAGTAACATTGGGGCTTCAAACAAGTTGGGGAGTGTCATTGTTGTGAAGATTTTATACTATCTATACACAATATAATAATACAAAACGAGTATTTTAGCAAATTTGACATTTGTTAAACTCTCAACCCATCTATGATTTATATTTTAACTAGAAACTTCCTTTAAATATATTTGTATTTATTTTTTATTTAATTAAATAATAATTAATATAAAACTTCAATTTATATTGGGTCACATTTCACAATTTACTAGACCATGGGAAATTTTAGCTGACACTAAATTTCCTTTTAATAATAATAGATTGATACAGTTGGTTTTGGAAACAAAAAAAAAAATATTGATTTCAATTAGGGATGTCAATGGGGCGGGGTGGGGCCGGGGAGACACTTCCCCATCTTTTTCCCCGCCATCAAATTCATTCCCCGTCCCCGTCCCCGATCTCCGTCACGGGGGAATTTCTATCCCCATCCCCGTTCCCCGCGGATCCCCGTTCCCCGCGGGAATCCCCATAGATCCTACATTTATTCATTAATATTTTATTTTTTTAAAATGTTTATATTTTCTATAAAAATAAAAAGCACAAAGAATTCACATATTTATTATGTTATTAAAAAATACTAGTATTTGACATTTATTATTTTTTATTAAAAATACTAATGGAACACAAAATAATAATATTTTTTTTATAAATTTCTATAAAATGCTATAAAATTCAACAAAATGAACTATAATACTTTTTAAAGTAACAATATGCCTAAACAACTAAAAAAATCCAACAACATAATTATGCTTAAAAAACTATACTTCATCAAAACTAATAAGGGATAATTATAAAATTTAGCATCATGAGTATGCTTGAAAAGCTAAAAAATACTTCATAATAAGTCAACTAAAAGCAAAAGTCAATACATGAAAAGCTAAAAATACATGAATATTTATTTTTATAAATAAACATAAAGGAAATGACTAAAAACCCTAATCTAAAATATATATATATTAAATTAACTATATTAAAATAATAGGCGGGGCGGGGTCCCCGCGGGGCGGGGGGTGTATTCCCCGTCTCCGTCCCCGAAATGCTCTCGGGGGAATTTTTCTCCCCATCCCCGCCCCCACGGGGGAAAATTCCCCATCTTTGGGGCCCCGAACGGGGCGTTCTCCGCGGGGATCCCCATTAACAGGTCCAAACTGACATCCCTAATTTCAATGCTAAATTTTTGATACTCTCAGTTAACAATAATGTTGACTTTCTTCTATATTCACGTTGTTAACAAGAAAAGATTTTTGATACTCTCAATTTTACTCTATCTTTTTCTTTCTCAACTCGCATTCAATAACCACAATCTTTTGAATTCTTAGAGTTCACTATAAGAACCCTAAACCCTTGCATGCAATATCAATCAATTTCACTGCTTTCAAATTTTTTCTGTAAGCCGTTAGATTTGTACATTTCTTCTTCCTAAACTTATGTCCTATTGAATATCAAAATATCATACGCAAGATCTACAAAGGGGGTTTCGAAACCTTAAGCTCAAAATCAAACGCAAACAACACAGAAATCTAAAATAGAGGAAAGATTTGTGTTCTCTGAAGGAAGATTAACCTTTTGATTGAATAACAGTGGCGGCAGTAACTCAGGTACAGTGGTTGGAGCTCCGGTCAGAGGCGGTTTTTGTCGGTAGTCAGACCGGGTGATGCTTTTTCATTTTTGTAATCACTGCATTTTGATTCCACTTACTTAGATCTCAACTTTGATTTGAAATTAGGGTTCATAGATTTGAGGATAATGGAAAGTGTTATTTAAACTTTTTATTTCAGGTCTGGGATGTTCTTCCATTGGATGAGGTGTTTTTACTAAATTGGGACCATTTTATTCTAAGGGTGATGGACATGGTCTACGAACGAATTCAAAGTCTTAGAATAAAGGTATTTATATGAATGAGTATATGTTTTATATTGGAGAATAATTTGAGTGTGCATTGATTCATGATATATGTGTTTGTGCTTACTCTTTTTTATAGTTTCAAATCTTTTGTTTGTGGAATCTACTGCTGGAGTTGGTCGGTCATACTCAAATACAACTTCTGATTATATCATTGGTGATAATGCTACAGGTATTATATAGTTATTATATATGCAAAATGAAAAGGTTATATGTTATACTAAGTATGAATATAGTTTTTTAATTTTGTGTTTGACAGTCAATGATATAGTTTTGTTGTTGCTAAAATAGTTTTGATCTCATTTTCTGCTCCATATATGAGTCATAGAGATTGAATGCTAAAAATGTGTTGCAGTTTTGGGTGCTAAGAAAACACATTTTTTATTTTACATGTAAAGCATCATGATTGTTGAATCTGTGTACATAGCCGATCAGCATAGCAAGGCAGTTATAACTATTGTATATAGTTAACCATTTTATAACTATATAATATTTAATAATAAATTAATTTATATATTACAAAGTTGTTATCAACACATAGTTTATTATGTGTCGTGAGTTATAATATGAATCTCATTGTAGTCATTTTTTTAATGTTATGACTTTTTAATCACTCAATATTATAAATTTTATTTTCAAAAAAATATTTATTAATTTTCATCTCTGAACATCATATCACTTATATAAAATCGTAAGGATAAAAATATAAATTATTAATAAAATATTATTTTTCTCCTCTTGAACTAAACATATTTTTAATCAAAATTCTCATTTCCCTCATATCCTATCTTTTGGAGCAAACATATATATAATTAAAAAATCTCTCTCTTCCCCTCCCTTTCCCTTCCCTCCATTAAAATCTCTCTTCTTCCCTCCCCCTCATTTGAACCAAACACACCCTAAGGGTCTGTTTGGGAGTTGGCTTTTGGAGGAGGCAATTTTCATTACACCCTTACATAGTGGGACGCACCTTTGAAAATCCCAAAATACTCTTGGGTTTATTCGAGATACATCTCTAAATGCACCAAATACCTTTTCAGTCTTAATTTAGTTCGAAGATGCATCTCTGAATAAACCCAATGGATCGCAAATACATCTCCTAAGTCACCTTGCATCCTTAGTAAAACAAACAGCCACCATATTTCTTAAGAAAATAGTTTGGAGATGTATATTCGAACTATGTGTAGAGTAAATTCGGAGATAAATCTCTGAGTTCTTACTTGTATGTAGTTTACTGAGATTGTAGTTTTTTCAATACAAACTAATTTTAACTCAATTAACATTGTCATTATTTGTTTCAAAGATTAATAAAAATGAATATCATAGACCGAGTAATGTATTAATTAATCAGAAAGACTATCGTAATACAAAAATTGTTCTCCAAGTCGATGAAAAATATTTTAAAAAAATACAATTACATGCATAGTCTACTGGGTATGTTTAATCCTAACACTTCAGCTCCTCCTCTGCATACGGTAACCCAAGGCATTTTGTGCCTCGGTAAGAATGGAACGTGTTATGCAAACCGCTTCATCGCCACCTCTCTCAAATAGCCCAGACTTAATGTCTTCTCTTGTCATTCGTAAAATGTTCTAACAAATCGAAAGCACATCAATAGCATGATCATCCATGGTCTACTCATTCTCTAGGATCTCCTCATGAGCAGACCTGAGTGGACGTTCAAGAGTGTCTGGTGTCATGTAAGAGTGTGACACAAAATAGAACCAAGTCATATAACCATCCATATAAGACCACTCAAATGTGGCATTCTGACTCTGATACTCCTTTGGTACCAGACAACTCTCAAAATCCACTAGAATGTCATCCAGTTGTCTCCGAGAAATGTCGCAGGAGCAACCTGGAAATGGGACCTCGAAATAATCTACATGTACCCAAACTGCTGCATACACCGCTTTGACAAATACATGTACATGATATTAACCCCACGTGTTAGATATTTGGAGTATAATGAAATATGGTCGAATGGAATTCTATCTCGGTGAGTAGTGTATGGAATCCAAATAATGTTGTTGTACCCAAAAATGTTCCCTCTCATTTTTCCAGACATGCTCATAGAGGTCCTCAATTGCTCAAGGTTAACCAAGAATTGGTCAGACAAATCCCCCTCCCAAGCAATGGACTTCCAACTAAAGTTTCACTTTTCACCAAGAAGTTTGGTTTCCAAAGGCCTCAAGTGATTTTCATAGTTCCTAATATGTCCCAAATAACGATCATGCCAATTTTCATGCCTTGCATTACAAGTTTGCTCAGTCAATTGCTCAGATGTCTAAAAATCAATTGTACTAGGTCAAAAGTCATATATGGCCAATATACTGTCAAACTTCAAATTTTTTGGTCAATATAAACATTTTGAAGTGATATTCATCATTTTATCAAGAGTTGATCATGATTCCTCAAGGAATGCTCTTAATCATCAAGAATCCAAAATTGCCAAATTAGGGTTTCTATAGGAAAAGTCAACTGAACTTTGACCAGGCATAAATTTCACATGCTTCATCCATTTTGACCCAACCAAAGATCATTATAAAGAGAATAAAATCCTTTACAACTTTGTTTTTATTCTCAAGTTCATAAAATGCACCATTTGGAAGATATGAGTCCATACATTACAGGTCATTTTCAAAAAGTCAACAAAAGATACTTTTTGTCAAGACAACTTACATCAAGATAATGTCCTCAAAAGCAAAAATGACCAACATATATATTGTAGATGACATCTTGGGATTTCTAAAAAGTCATAGATCATCTTAAAAATATGAAAATTGAGCAAGTTATGGTTTGCACAAGTTGCGCAAATTTGTGAAAAATGCATGAAGTCAACTTTGAGCAAAATTGCATTTTTAGGTTAATGGAACTAACTTTTAGGGTTCAAACATGTTTATGACATACTAAAGGACCCCTAAATTCCCTCTCACCTTGATTTTCATTTTTTATCTATTTTATTCATATTTATTTTGTTTTTATTCAAATAAACACAAAATAAATTGCATAAAAT